AGTTTGAAATGTCTAAACCGGTGACTCCAATACAGTCTTTTTTTTTTAAATCGTTCTAGCTAAACCAGTAGTTCCTATAGAAAAAAGTGACACATGTCACACATGTTAGCACGCTAGAAGGAGATAGATGATATAGTCGACGATATAGTCGGTGCCGGCCAAAATTGAAGATTTGATAAAGCTCTGCGGCATGGCTTCGAGAATCCACCACTCCTTCTACAAATTCCGCCTATGTAAATCTGCTTGGAATCTACTGGTTCTGTCTTAGAAAAGCCATACGAAGACATCTTGAAGTCTTTCTCATCTTAACTCGATCTCCTAACAGGATGCTACGACTAAGACTTAGGTAAGGTATATGTTATTAGAACTAGACAAGCAGGAACAACATTCGACAAAGCGGAAAAAGAAATCCAACCCAAAACAGAAATTGTATATATCTACCATATATTTTAAAGAATCCAATCGGGTCAGATTTTTTTTAATTTTTGACCCGGAAATTTTCAATCGGATCTTTTCTTATTTTTTAGCAAAATTCAAAAACGAAATTAATTAATAGAATCTAAAAATATATATATATTCTCAACTAATTACTATACCTAAACTCTTTATTTATGACATATTCTCTACGATTTTTATAAAAATCAAATATGATGATTTAATGCTAATATAACAAATTTGAGCTAATTACTAAAATCTCTCTACCTAATTTAAACATAAATATATGATTTTCATTTCACTTTTATTTGATCTTATATTTATATTATTTTGAATTATTATAAAATATATATAGTTAATAATATTTTAGATTTTTTCTGCATATGTTATGATTCAAATTTTTTAAAACGGACATATATTACTCAATCAATGAAGAAAAAGTATGTGTACAATCTAAAGTACATATTTGCTTTTTTTGGGTCGGTTTTTATTTTTTAATTTTGACCCAGATTTTGACCCACAATTAAGTCTTCTGGATCCAAATAATGAGACTTAAAAAAAAAAATCATAACAATTTAAATGATTTATTTTGTATGTTATAACTATATATATATATGTAGTTATTACTAAATATATATAGTTATAATAAACAAATTTTCGAATCCAAAAAAATTACAAAGTTACTAAGTTACATATATTCTACGGGTTAAATCTAAAAATTACTAAATTACATATGTTCTACGAGTTAAATCTAAAAGCACCAAAAAAATTCAATATTATATAATTTTAATACAAAAAATTTTATAAATAGAAAAATAAAATATTATCCCGTGGTGTACCATGGGTCAAATCATAGAAAATAAAATAAATTCGTTTTTTTTTGTTAACAAAACATTTTATATTTAATGGGGTTGGGTTTTAGGTGGATATAGTTTGGGTTTTGTTCTAAAACAAAAATTTAAGTTGTATATTGTTTGGGTTTTGTTCTATTGGCATATATGAGCTTCAATTAATTTTAAGGGCTCGCAATGTTTTAAACTTTGTTTGGGTGTTTTATCTATAGTAAGATTATGTAACAACAAATAAACATGTTTAACCCTCAATATGCAATGCAATCTATAAAATTATCATAACATTTATTTATGATACACTAAGCAACTTTAAAATAATTGTTATTTTAACTACACAGAGATAAACTAAAACTAATGTAACCTCAAAATATAAAAACTAAATGTTATCATACTTAGAATATAACAAATTTACATCTAATTAAAAACCGTACAGAATCAAACTTACGTCAAGGTACCAACAAACATACAAAACTAATACATCAAATTCATCAGTTTAAAAATAATTTAATATTTTAACCCGCGGTGTACTATGGATCATATTGTAGTTACAAAACAAAAAATTTGCATATGCAGGTAAGAAATCGCCTTCTCTCTAAAAAAAATAGAAATGAGATAAGAGAGATGTAATGCAAACTATTTTTTATAATTGTGTTTCGTAATCGTATTATACTCTAGTCTTGGGTAGAGATGATCTTGAAATAATCATTCTCCACTCTACTTATCCGGATGTTGTGACTAGAAACATGTTAAATTTAATTGCATGACCTTTTAAGTTTGATTTTCTCACTACTATAGGTCTTTGGGTTCAGATGCGAGGCATACATTTGCCATATGTATATAATGAAACTGTGAGGTTTATTGCGGAAAGACTTGGTGAATTTGTAGAATCAGATTTTGATGAAGTGTACTGCACAAATTGATTTCATCATAGTAAGAATAAGATTTGGAATTACTGATAGCCTCAGGTTTTTTCAGCGATTCCGCTTTAGGTCTGGAGAGAGAGCCATGATTAGCTTTCAGTATGAGCGTCTTCGAAGGCTTTGTAGTAACCGTTATCAGATTACTCATTTAATGGATCAATGTCCTTTTCTCTCTACGAAAAGGGTTGAGCTACTAATTCCAGAGATCAAGCGGGTGTGATTGATGTGGTGAATAGATCTGAGTTGAATTCTCAATCTCAAATATCTGAAAGTTCCTTTCCAGCACCAATATCTCAACCACCACCTCCAAGAGTAGTTGCTCCTCCTTTTAATCCAATTGAGCTAGCTGCTAATTTGGAAAGTGTTCAAAGGTTAGCAGTTCCAATACCTCAAGATGCCACATGGAGAATAATACAATCATCATCTAGCACTAATTCAACTCCAGTAGTGGGTTTAGAAGTCACGTCAAGATATGAAACAAAGTTTGAGGTTGGAAAGACATCTAGGTGTCCAAGAGTTGATACAGATAAGGAATCTGAAAAACGGAAAAAAAAAAAGTTTCAGGAACATAGATTTGGGGGAATTCAGATGCCTCCAAAAAAAGATAATTTCACTCTATAAAGACTGTCAATCACTTTTGGTTTTCTATAGTTTCGACAAAGTAGGAAAATGTTATTTTATTTCCTTTAAAGTTTAATGAGATAATTGGGTGAAAAGTATCTGATCCAGGCCTAACAAAATTTTCGACGTTATGCTTTTTGGTCCAAGAAACTGATAATTTCAGCCCATGTTTTTGCCGCTTCTACCCTCACGCGCGAGACTACAGCCCAATTTATAACTCGTTACATTGAACGTAATAAGAAATTATCTCTTTATTATGTCGTTTTCGAGATACTAAACCGTCACTATAGTATTTGACGTTTGGGGTTACTTCATTTATGTTCTCTCATCCCGCCCTTCTCTCTTTGAAAACCCTAAGCCCCGTCGTCTTCTTCTTTTGTTTCGAGAACTGAGTTTGCTCCGGTGAGGTTGCTAATCGGCGTCGTCTCATCTCACAAGTTACGCGGTATCCCGAAGCGAGTCTATATCCCAGTTGGTAAGCCGGAGGAGACACGAATCCGAAGAGGCGAACTGTCACTTTCATCCTCTTTCAAAACAAATTGATTTTTCCTTAATTCGTTTAGATATCTTGGTTCGTATCTCTCGTTCCGTTTTTATCGCCATTAAGATTTTGTTTTCTGTTTTTCATCTTTCGTCCCCAAATTTGCTCATACGCATCCTTAGATCTGCTTGTATCTTCACCTCTTTGAGTTAGATCCACTTTTAGACACTCATAATTTTTTTGGATCTTCATACATAAATTGCATGTCATCATCATCCGTTTGTAGATCTATATTTCTAACAAACTGGCCCCTCTGTTTTGCAGGAAAATGGCAGATATTGACCTTCCTTCTCAGCTATTTGTGGACAGAGAAGAACTTGCCGGTGATCGTGTTAACATGTACTTTAAGCTTAATACCATCAAAGTTGTACTAAAGGCCCTCACCCCCAAGGAGATCGAAACCATCCGACCTTGCTTTGGGAAATTGCTGGATCTTTACTCAAAGCCAGTGTTCTCCGGGAAGTTGGCCCACTTTCTATTAACGCGCGAGTTGAATCTGTAACGAAAAAGTATAGGCGAAATTTAAAAAATTTAAACCACTAACCTAATTGCGTATATATCTATTAATAAATTTAGCACTATATAGTTCAATATATGATTCTATAAAAGTGTATGGACATGTACCTAAATTTATAGATAACTATAAATTCCTTAAATAATTGGGACATGTTTAACCAAAGTGATAACCTTATCACTTCTTCGAGTGAGATTGCATCTGACAGTGACGAAGCTCAAAATATCATCATCAAATTCAAAACTCTCTTTGCTAAACTTCTTGAAATTTTGAATACAAAACAGCAAGAGATACATGAAACTTGACCCATCTCCACAAATTTTTTTAGATCTGCATATACGCATAGTATATCTATTTGTGAAGATCCAAAAATGGTTGTAGATCCGTGAAACTTGACTTTTGTTCCATCCCCCTCAAACTAGAGACACATGCATTTATTAACCATCACTTCATTTTGACTTTTGCCGAATAACTATCAGTTCACTCTAACGCATTAAAGCCAAGTCAGAATGTTCTTTCAGTTGCTCCTAGAGGCATCTCTCCCTCACCCACGCGCATACGTTCCACGCCTCCTGGTTATTTTGTAAATAACTTCTAAAGCCAATCCCTTTCTAACTCTTGATAATACCTCGTCGCCGACAGCTTTTGATAATACCGATTCCCTAATTTGTGTTCCCATTTTTCCTTCTGCGCAAATTCACTCAACTTTAATTCAGTTATTAAAAGTATGTGTCTGTTTTCTTTCAGATAAAGGCTGAAGATTATTCTGTGTAGTAGTTTTCTAATGGTCATGGGCTATCATACTGGTGAGATCATGAAGGCATCTTTGAATGATCAAGTTGTTATGTAGCGTTTCTAGTATCTTTCGATACTTTTTGTTAGTTGAATTAGGGATTGTCAATACTCTGTTTGATAATCTAACTCATGATATAGTATAACATGCTCTTAAGCTTATGTATGGGTTATCACTTTTTGAGAAAGAAATAATAATAATCAGGTATTATACTACAAAACTCACCCTAATACAGTATTTGTAGCTTTTAATGGAATCAAGCGGACCGGTTATAGTAATTTCCTTAATTCAAAATCACTCTCCTCTCAATTTCAAATCTCTAAACCGGTGATTGCTTAAAATCGTTCTAGCTAAACCGATTTGATATAAACAACACAGACTTAGCAGAGTTGTTTCTCCGGCGGCAAGTAATCGTCACCAATGTCAAACATCGTGGTTCTAGACAACGGCGGCGGTCTAATCAAAGCCGGACAAGGTGGCGAGCGTGATCCCACCACCGTAATCCCGAACTGTCTCTACAAACCTCTCTCCTCCAAGAAATTCCTCCACCCATCACCACTCACCACTCTCTCCGACGAAATCGACCTCACCTCCGCCGCCGTACGCCGCCCAATCGACCGTGGCTACCTCATAAACTCCGACCTACAACGCGAAATATGGTCACACCTATTCACTTCTCTCCTCCACATCACTCCTTCCTCCTCCTCTCTCCTCCTCACCGAAGCACCACTCTCAATCCCTTCCGTTCAACGAACCACCGACGAGCTCGTCTTCGAAGATTTCGGATTCTCTTCTCTCTATGTAGCTCATCCTCAATCTCTTGTTCATCTCTATGAAGCTAGTCGTCAGCCTGATTCAATCCTCTCAAAGACTCAGTGTAGTCTCGTTGTTGATTGTGGTTTCTCCTTCACTCACGCTGTTCCTGTTCTTCACAATTTCACTCTTAATCACGCCATTAAGAGGATTGATTTAGGAGGAAAAGCTTTTACTAATTACTTGAAGGAATTGGTGTCTTATAGATCTATCAATGTTATGGATGAAACGTTTTTAGTTGATGATGCTAAGGAGAAGCTTTGTTTTGTTTCACTTGATCTTCTTCGCGATCTCCGCCTTGCTCGAAATGGAAACAATCTTATCAAGTCTACTTATGTTCTTCCTGATGGTGTTACACATACCAAAGGTTATGTTAAAGACCCTCAAGCTGCTAAGAGGTTTCTTAGTTTGTCAGAGAAAGAGCATGTGGTGATGGATAAGGTTGGGGAGAGGAGGAAGGCTGACATGAACAAAAACGTAAACTTTTGTTCGATTCTTTTGTTTCGAGTTTTCTCTGTGGTGGTTGGGATTTCGATTCAATGACAAAAAAATTTTTTTGCAGGAGATCGACTTAACGAATGAGCGTTTTCTTGTACCTGAGACGTTATTCCAGCCTGCAGATTTAGGTTTGTGTCGATGAATGTTAGAATGTCGTTGTAGATAGAAGATGATGATTGTATTTTATTTGTTTCTGGACAGGGATGAATCAGGCGGGACTTGCAGAATGCATTGTCCGAGCTATAAACTCATGCCATTCTTGCTTGCAACCAGTTTTGTATCAAAGGTGGTTTCAAATGGATACTTATTTTTAATCTTCAGTTGTTATTGAATGAGCTTTGATGTCTAATGTTTGATGTTTTACCACAGCATCATCTTAACTGGTGGAAGCACATTATTTCGACAACTTAAGGAGAGACTGTAAGGCTAAAATTTATATGATGAATCATTCATTAGTACTGCTTTATTATTAGAGAAGTTGATGGTCTGAGATACTATTGCAGAGAAGGAGAGCTGCGACCACTTGTCCCCGATCACTTTGATGTGAAGATAACAACTCAGGAGGAGTAAACAAACTCAATCCTTTTCTCTTTTTACTCTTATTTTTGCAGCCCTTTCTTTGTTATTTTAACTCCTTTTGACTTTTGTATTTGCAGCCCCATACTAGGTGTATGGAGAGGTGGTTCACTTTTGGCTTCGAGCCCAGATTTTGAGTCAATGTGTGTCACCAAGGCTGAGTACGAAGAGCTTGGATCAGCTCGGTGTCGTAGAAGATTCTTTCATTGAGGCTAACCAAAACAATATCAAATGAGTTGGTTGTAAGTTGTAACTCTTCACATTATGTGTCGCATATCGTAATGCATGCATGTATTGTATTTTTTCTTCTTCTAATATTTCCAAAATTCGAAAAATTTCAACTCGATTAAGTAATCACCAAACAACAACCAGGAGAAAATTATCCGGTCCTAAAATCAATTTTACACAGAAGAAGGGTTTAGGGTACAACATACAGAAACATTATGAAATACAGTGATATTTAAATGCCAAAACTTGTTTGTTGTTGTTCTTCAAAGATGATTTCATGTGCGTAATTTGCAAAGCCAACGAAAGAGTTTGGTTATGTAGTTCCTCATCAGTCGGTGTAGGGTTGAGAGTCCATGCACAAATGCACTAGCTTTCTCTGGTACTGTTGAAAGTATTCGCAAACCGCTGTCACTTCTTCCTTCCCTGATTCAAGACCAGGCAGATCGGGCAGTGGTACTGTACCAGAAGCAGATTCAGATTCCTCGTCTTGGGTTGATAGCTCGGTTATGATTTCTGAATGAATCTCCTGACACGCGAGCACAAACATGGCTACTGTATCAGGCTGTTGCACCTCTCTGAGAGCTGCAAACGCCTCTTGCAGGGAACCAGCAGCCACATATAAAATAAGGGCCCTGCATTAATACAACAAAATTCTTTTCTCATCATCTGAATTGTTCGAGGAATTGATGTCACATACAAATTTTCTAATTTAAACTGTATTGAATGTGAGTATGATACAGTACCGCCAGACATTGTGCTCCGCATGGAGAACATGATCAGCCCATCTTTGCAATACCCTGAGTAGATAGAGAGATGGAGTAGTTACAACGATTAGTAACCAATTTATAGGAAATAAAAATTAGATCTAGACGTGAAACCGTAAAAGAAAAGACCTGGCATAATCCGATCCTTCTAAATGTGTTGCAGCCAAGGTAGCAGCATCGGTCCATCGTCCAGAATCTTGGAGCTGCATATTAAAAAGGTCTAAAATATTGTGTCTCAAACATTGCCGATTATTAAAGTAGGCTAAAAACATTCCTTAATAACTAATAAAATGATAATTTCAGTGGAAGCATAGTTCCGAAGAATATGCAATATGTAGTATGACCAAGGAAACAAGAAAGCTAACCTGTGAACAAGCTTCTTGGTGCCTACCAACGGCACATAAAAGATGAGTACCAGTGAGTGAATTGTCGGTCCTTACCATGTTGGCTGCAACAACCTACGTATGGAACAAAAGTGATGGAATGATTTTTTTCGAAGGACACAAAAGATTATCCAATATAACAAAGACAGATACCTTTAGTGCAAGGTCGAGAAGAGATTTAGACACAGCAGAAGCGAGTGCAACAGCTCGGAGAGCATTTGGATAGAAGTATGGAGAATCTGGAGCTGAAGAAAGCAGCAAACTAACAGCAGCTTCCAAATTTCCAACTGATATCAGCCTGGTCAAAAAGGTTACCGAGTGAATTCACTTGTCACCACAAAACCTAACGCGTGGAACTCAGATTTAAAAATTAGATTCTATAATATACCGATACAAGATCAACACAACTACTTTTCTCTCAGCTTAAGATGCTTCTAAATTATATATAATTTCCATTTCACACAGGAGCTCCTACTAAAACAAAACTGTAATTTCAAGTAATAAATTTAAAGGATAAACAATAAAGACAAGCTAAAGGTGAAATACTAACTCGTGTACTTGTTTCTGAATGCAATCTTCTCCGTGTAATTTTTCATGCCAAGGAAGACGTTCATTGGCACGTGTCCGTAATTCTTCTCGCTCAAAAGCCATCAATCTAAGTGAACTATCACACTGTTCGAGAAAATGTAGAATATAAGCTCACCAACAAACACTAAGCAAATGAAAATTTATAGTCCAAACCGACTACAAACAAGAAAGCTCCATTAAGCTAGCAGAAAATTACAAAGCGAAGGAGCTCCAATTCCAAAATAAATAAATCTTGTCTCTGTATCCTGGTAGAAGGGAATGGCTAGAATGCATGATCTTTTGAAAGAAAAAAAACATTATTTTGAAACTGACCATAGAATCTATCTTCCTGGCTTCAGGTGTCGATATACCAGTAGATGGTATTTTACTCAGCATAGCTACTTCATCAACTTCTGAGTCTAAAGTAGGGGAAGGGATTTTCTGCGGAGACTTTCTCGTCAGCTTGTTCATCAGATGGCGAATGGCTTGAGGCAGTTGCAACCAGAAAAGCGCTTCTGAGGTTTCACCAAAAACAGAAGCTGCAAAAGCAAATCTTGCAGCATAACCTTTCTTGGCCACATCAGCGTACAGTTTTGCTCTTTCATCGTCCAGCAAGCAACCTAGTATGAAAGAAATTAGAGAAGGTAAGAAAATAGAATACTTAAACAGATATCTTGACAGAGAGAGTTTAGTCTGTGGTGATACTATACTAAACAAATGAAAACAACCTTCTTTCCGATAAGGTTCTAGTATCTTCAACAGCATTTCTGGCACTACAGGGTCTCCTAAAGGCGGTAACTGAATCATGTAGCTCCGTAGATCCTTAGAGGATGAAGCCATTCCACGGATCAAATGAGGCCTCTTCTCCAAAGTTGTGCTAGACGTATTAAACCAAGATGGTTTCACTCCTAACTGTAAAATCATCCGCAGTGCCTGCATGTATAATAATCAGACACATTGTCAAGAGTAATCGGAATCTCATTTCTCAGAACCTGTCTAGGGAGATTATATGGACATATAGATAATGCAATAAATTAGTATCTTCTGGATTCCATGAGTTCAGAACTAAACCAAGATTGACTTCAGAATCAAGAAGTACTCCTAAGCAAAGAAAGTTACCAGCGCATGTGGCACAGGAAGTAGGATAGGGGAGTACATAGGCATAGGGCGAAACCTCTCCTTTACTGATTTAGACTGGGGCACAAAGCCAGCTTTCTTTTCATTTCTGCAAAATCCGGAAGAAAAAGTTGGAAATAAAAGATCGCAGAAGTAAGTGATTGTAGCCAATTCAAACTTGGATCAATAATAATGGACCCTCAGAAAAAAAAACACTATTTATATGCCCTAACCTAGGGATGCCTAAGTCCTAACCTGGGGGCAAGGGCGACTAGTTGTCAACCCCACTACACCATCTACACGGCCTTGTGTTAGAGGGTGCACACTGCACAGTCCTCTGGTGAGCAAAATAGAAAACAAAAAACCTAGACATGTCTATTCTATACAGTTAAGTTATACGGGGAGAAACAACATGCTGAAAAAAACTAATCCTAATCTGAAAGCATTCATGGGACTCTGCATACGAATAAAGTTTTACACATACACAGTAACCTCAACGAGCCGGAAGGTGCTATCAGCCCCAGCAATGCATAGAACAAGTGGATCATTTTTATCAGTTCTCAGAGGCAGCCAATCAAGTTCCAGTACAAGGGTTCCAGCAATTTGAGGCTGGAGAAGCGACTGGGCTAACGGATCTGGTGAATCCTGCAGCAATTTTCAACAGCAACTGTCAGAAAGAGTTATTTTGAGTTGACAGACAATTTCAAACAAGTATCAATAAAACCAGTCTTGTTCTTGTTTTCTCTTCACATTACAGAATATTAGTACACCACCTTTGAAAACACGACATGTGCACAAATTGAAGGGAAATACTGATTCCTCTTAAGACTCACAAGATCAAATACAGAGAATGTATTGTCATTAAATAGCACAGCTACACGCCCTCGGCTGCGATCTCCAGCAACAACAGGAGAAAATTTGATCCTCCTTATTCCATCTCTGTGACTATTAAATGCAGATGACTGTCCTGTTGTTACATCCCACCATCTTATGTTTCCTGATCTATCTCCCATAACCTGAAAAGAGAGAACAAGATATGATCTCCATAAACATAAGAGACAGAAGTGGAAGGTGAAAAGAAACGAACCACATGAGGCAAGCGATATGCCATGGCTGTAACCAATCCATCTGAGGGAACGAATGAAGTAGATGGCCATTTAGGTCTAGAAATAGAGGCGGGATCATCTATACGTCAGTGAATATAGGAAGAAGATTACACAGCAATCAAGGTTCAAGAAGGTGATTGCTAATTCATGTAAAAGCGGCAGATAAAAACTATCAAGTAGTGAATTTTCTGCACTTTCTGAAATTGGAGAACAAAGATCTACTCACTATCTCGCAATTTTTTTAAGAAGAATTTAATGACAGGTGGCATAGAAACAAATTAAAAAACAAGAATGGAATAAGTGAAAAAGAACTCTACCGCAGGTAAGCAATAATGTGCAATCACTATTTCATATTATCTTCTCAGAAACAGAGAGATATTCAGAAGCACTAACTATGATCAGAATTGTGATAAAAATACAAACGCAGCTATAATGGATTACTACGGAAAGAAGAATTTCTGAAAAAAAATTGAGTTAATGGAACCATCAGTTTTACCTGAAATCTCGAATTCGACGTCCTTGGACTTCAAATACTCCAAGAGCACCATTTACTAGTGCAAATGCAAAACTCTCTACAGTTTCTTCTTGCGATCCATCTGAGCCCACCGATGCTGCAGATATGTCAATTACCGCCCCTTAGAAAAAAATGCATCAAAGACTTGGGTATATTCAGGATAACACAGTTTGAATTGTCATAAACATCTCACAAGAGTCTGCTGAAGCAGTTACTCCTTCGGATGCTGAGAGCGATTGTTTGGAAGGACCGCCTTGACCTGGGCGCGGAACAGCTGGAAGCGTCCATTCCACTACCGTGAAAGGAAGAGCTAATGATCTAAGCTACAAGATTAAGAGGAATAGGAAACATATTATCATTGATTAGAATACTTAAAAAGATACTAAATACTCCACAAGTTAGATACGACATCTTTAAACAAGATGCAGGAGTATATATTTATATTAAGAACGCTTTTAGTTCTCATTTTGACCCATTCTCCACACCATCATTACTTTCGTCTTGAAAGTTCACAAGAATAGACATTGGCATGGCAATAAAGACTTGTTAGCACTTGCAAAAGGGGGAGCCAAGAAAAGAAGCCACATAGAGGATGTTGTTTTAAGTCTCCTCAAAATTTTAAAGG